AAATTTTTTAGTGCTCCTCACACTATTGTATTAATATATTTTGCTTCGGCTTTATTGATACAATATCAGTAAGCCCACTGTTTTGCGGATATAATCGTGTGGGCTGAAGAAAAGATTATATCTTTTTTTTTCCGGTTTTTTAAATAAAATTTAATTCTTTTTTTTTCTGAAACTGTTGTTTGTTATTTTTTTACTTATTATCCCCCCCCCTCCTTTTTTTTCATTTGTCTATTATTTTTCTATGTTTTATTCTTCATTTTGAACATATATAATATATCTCCTGCATTCAAAATTTTATTAAATTTAAAAATAATATGGAATATAANATATATATATATAAAGAGAGAGATTGATTGATTAATTCTTGAATTGCAGTTTTATTTTTACTTTTTTAATAACTTTTCGGTACTCTGAATGCTTTTATGAATAGACACGTTATGAATAGAATTCAATTAAAACAAAAGCTTTAGTCTGAAGTTATTAATTGTAAAGCCATAATAAGAAGTTGTTTTTAATGGGTTAAGTTTAAAAGAAAGAAAGATTAACTTTAATAACAATTTAACAAGATGTGTTTTGTAGCTGGAGTATTTATCTTATTGAAAAGAAGTTGATCCTACCTACTAAAAATACTTGATTCAAAAACGAAATGCAGTCCTTTTCATAATTTAAATATCTATTTCAACCTACATGAATAAAATGTTTCCTTCTGAAATTATTAGATAAATAATTATTATTTTTTTCTAAATATTTGTTCATATTTTCTAACACGTAAGTAAATTAAATATTATTCTTTTATATTTTTTGTCTCCTAAATTAGGTTTATGCTGAGGTTTATGGTTTTCAGGCATTTCGATGTTTAGATTCAATAGTTTATGATTATCTTCAATATTCAGGTTCTGTTCTGAATTGGTGCACAAATTTAGTCAGGAACACAGTCTATGAATTCAGGGAAGCATATTCTTTCAAAGGTGATTTACAAAGCACTATTTTTCTCCACGACTATCGAAAGTGGAGATAGCCTGATTGGTATGGTGCTTGGCCCATGTAGAAGAGTTCAATCCCTGTCGGTCAAAGACTCCCAGTGTAGTAAGTTGTGACTGGAGCACGTAAAATCGTTCTGGCCTAAAAGTTCAAGTTCCCATAACAAATCAATACCTCTGAGGGTACTGAATTGGGGATTGATAATATTCTCTGGTTCAGGTCAAAATTGTGATATGTGTATAAATGAATGGATGTATAAATTAAAAGTGAATGTGACATGTGTGTGTGTGGATGTTTTCTTATTCTTGTCCACAGATAGCACTTTCGAAAAAATGAAACTCCCCCTCTGTCTTAAATATGCCTGGATTCACCACGCAGACTTGCTGATATTTGGAAGTGGCATTAGAAACAATATAACACCTACTTTACAAAGAAAAGATGTATGAGATAAAGGCTGTCATAACCAATTTAAATTTTCTGCTTAATATTAGTTTTAGGATTTGATCCCGATTAAGATATCATTAGAAATTCTTTCATACATTTTAATGAAGATATCACGTGGTACAGTAGAGATAGAGACACAGTTGTAAAACTATTTATTTGTTTTAAGTCAATATAAAGATTTGATAGACTATCCAATTTGTTAACTACATATATATTTCAAAGTATTGCAGGGACGAGACAACAAATAATGTATAAAATATATCTCCCGGGTACATCCATTTTAACTTTTTATTTAGTATTAATCTCAGTTGTAAGCTCTGATTTAACTCTATTCTGCTGTCATCATTCGTAAGAATATCTTGTCATTAAAATTTTAATTACACTATATACAGTTTGTAATTAACCTATTCTAATTATTAAGCAATATTTGAAGTAGAAATAATTTGAATAAGTCAAACATTTTTCACTGTTTTTTCCTCCATGACAGTATTGACCTTTAAAGGCATAAGTTTTATTGGGAAAAAGATTGAAAAACAGTCCACATTCATTTATGTCAAAAATGTCCTTCGGTTCATAACCTGAAGGAAATTTGTGTAATTTAGCTCTTAAATCTTCTGCTTCTTGTAAATCAATGCTATTACAATATCCTTTAATCGTTTTATAAACTAATCAAGCTCGGTTTTTATCTGATCAACCATCTATTGGAGGGCGTGAAATCAACGCTCAATTGCTCCGCATTCTCTAAGGCTTTCCCTCTAAGAATAGTTCTGTTGACAGGAGTGTTCGCGGATCTTGCTTGTTTAAACCATATCAACAGTTTTCCTTCAACATCTTCGTTTGATCCAGTTTTCACTTTTTATTTTATTTTCTGGGATGCACCGGAACAAAATGTTTCTAAATGTCTATTATGTATCTTTCGCATCTGTCATTGAAGGGGTGGGGACAGTAGTATAGTGCATGAGTCATCTGGCTTCCTGATTTTCATTTATGGTGGACATAACGTCCTAGTGATTCCCCACATTCTTATCAGTTTTATTATTCATCTGTCAATTCCCATTCCTTTACTCACACCTGTTCCCGATTAATCACCTTCTTTTGTGTAATGGACAAGCAAGGAAAGTCAGTGGTCTTTTTTTAATTTGGCATAGTTTACGTACCTATTTTTGTGACGGAAAGGAAAAACTAAATAATACATTTTAAATATAAAGTAAAAAAGAAAAAAAAATGGTAGGGCGTGAAAACTTCTTAAATGGGAACAGAAACGTCTAATAAAAGGCAAATTAAGCATAATAGTATTTGATTTTTTTTTTTTTTTAAAAAATAACTTCTTAGGAGGGAAAACTTTTTAAGCAGGAACTTCTTAAACGGGTCACACTGAATTCGCAAAAATTTGAAGCTCTTATGCAGGTAAATATAGTAGAGTTGAATTATACAAAAAAATGAACAATCTGAAGCAAAAATTTCGAACCTTGTCTTTGTAAATTAAATTATTATATGAATTTAACTATTATATTTCTTAAAAAAAATATAAAAAAAGTTAATACAAAGTTTTAAAAAAAATGCTTGAAAATAAATATATCTAAAATGAACGACGTATTTGCGATATAGTATAATAAAAAGTGATCCAAACATTTTATTTTTAACATTTTTACTAATAAATTGAATGCCAAATCAATGCAAACAAATAATAGTACAATTATGAAACTACTGTACACGTACCATTTTAAAAAACATAAAACACCCTAAAGAACTCAAATTGAGCAATTATTAGAAAATATTTATGAATGACGAAGTTGAAAAAAAGCTGTAAAATTTGTATTTTTATTTATACCATTTTGATTTGCATTTATTTAAAAATACATGGTTGGAATGCAGCTTTACAATTTATTTTGGGAGATTAGGTTTACAATTTAGATGATATTTATTTCATACGTATTATGCAAAACGAAGGAAACATGGGAATTCTAGTAACAACCCTATTTGACACATGGAAGAGAGTTTAATCATTTAGAAAACTCCAGTGAATGACCATGTAATTTATCCCGAAAAACAGCTTAATTTTAATAACATGATACAAGAAAAATGGGGAAAGCCTCATTTTAAATTAAAATTTCTTGAAATAAATTAGATCAATCCATCTTTTGCTGTTCATTTTCTAATATTCGATGCTGTTCACTTTATTTCTTTGTACACCTGGTAGTTAAACTCACATAACTTAATAATTTGAAGTTTGTCTTCGTGAAAATAATAACTCTAAGTTGCTAAATAATCACTTCTAGTGCTGAAATAGATAAATTTGCGATAGCAATTTATCATCAATCTTCAAAATTTACGTGAACTTCTATTACATATATAAACTTAATTATTATTTAACTAACTTAACTTTTTGATGCTAAAAGCAAAAAAAAAAATTGTCTTATGACAGTTATGAATTTCGAGTTCTGAAAAATTATGTATTTACAATATATAATAACATTTTTATACATTAAGTAATGTTATATTTAAATTTTTAAAAATATTTCTTTAAAAGAAGAACTTTATTTTAACAAAACCTATATTTAAATTACCTTCAAAAATATTTTAATATTATCATTTCTATCTCCTTATAATTTTTTCATTTTAAATTCATTATCATATAATCGAGGATAAAATATCGAATGAAACTGTAGGTCTTCTAAAATAAGAATAGTCTACGTCACTAAGTATGGGACAACTAAAATTTTTTCGGAGAACAGAAAACGTTAAATTATAAATAAATCCACTAGTATGAAATGAAGGAACAAAAATAGTAACCTAAAGTTATTATTTCATGGATCTCGACTGTAAAAACTCCGAATCAAATTACGGTAAAAAGGTACCAGCACTCAGAGTGGTGGGATTTTTTACAGAAAATCCATTTCTACTGGTACACATTACGTCTCAAAAATCTGAAGTACTATTATTTTTACAGTAATAATTAGCCTAAAATCACTGAATTACTCTAAATAAATTTTATTGTAAAATTACGGCATATTTTACTGAAAAAATTAATTTTAAGGTAAAATTTATTCTATGGGTATGCATTCTATGGGTGGTGCAACAAAAGTGTCTGTACGTGATACCGAAAATTATTCAGGAATTTTTTAATGTCTAGATAATAAAAATGCATTTTTTAGTGTATTATAAGCAAATTACATTGCCAGATTTTTAATACACCCTTGCAAAAATTTTATTACCCTTGCAGTTTTACTATAGTAAATATAATTTTAATAATTAAGAATAATAAATATAATTATAAAATAAATTAAATAAACAAAAAAAATGAGATTAATTAATACTGCCTTTTAATATACCATTTATATGTAAACAAATATAAATGATTAGCTGCATAAGCTTCAAAGTTATCAAACATTGCATCAAATTTTAAGAAAAGTTTTATATTTTGTACAGATTTCTTAAAAATACGTTTAAAATGTATGGAGGGAAATCTAAAAACTCTGTAATGCAACTTTCAGGAATATCAAACATGTGTGCATTATTAAAACAGCACTGTAAAAAGAATATTTTTTTCTCAAAATTCAATTTTTTTTTCTTAGTTCCACCTGCTGAGCCAGTAATATACGACGACGAAAGAAGAAAAGTTAAAGGAATAATTGGTCCGTACAACGAAGGGGAGCCATTAAAGCTTCTCTGCGAATCAGATGGTGGTAAGTGTCACAATATTTTTTAATTCGATATTATTTTAATTTTTTGTGCATGCTACTTTCTCGAAACATACTTTTTCTGCTAAGAATCATGATACTTTTTATTTTATTTATCATTTTTTTAATCTTTTACTCTTATCTCCTTTTCAGTACGTTGTTTTTAGTATTTTCGGGCTGATGTTTATGACACTTTTTCATGTTATATTTTTTAAAAAAGTTCACAATTAGCTTTTTTTATATAAATAGAGGATTATTTTATTCACAAGCTATTTTATTCCCTCTCAAAATTTGTTTTATTTTTGAATTGTAATATTGATACTCTGTTAATAAATTGAAACATAACGTTGATACATTGATACATTGAATCCTAACATTCCGCGTGTTTGCTGAAGTGTTACAATATTAAGTATAAGCAAGAATCACTAGGTTTTTTTAATTCAATATTATGTAAATTTTCTGTGCATGCTTTTTTCTCGAAACAACTTTTTTTTATTGAGAATCATTATACTATTTCTAATTTATTTTTCGTCATTTTCAATTCTTTCACTATTATCTTCATTTCATTTTTAAAAATCTTTTGGGATGTTGTATATGACACTTTTTCCCATTATTATTGTTTTTTTTTTAATTTTCCAATTAGCTTTTGTATAAACAGCGGATTATTTATTAACAAAATATTTTATGCTCTTTAAAAAATATTATTATTGAATTGTAAGATTGATACTTTGATCGCATTGAAACATAACATTGATGAATTGCTGATACATTTAACCGTAACATTGTGCAACTTGATGGCAACATTTAAGAGGATGTTACATTAATGCATACTTCCGTTCAATATTACTTACCATGCTATTTTGAACTAAAATGTCGTTTAGAAATTTTTGAGAAGGTGCCAAATATCCTCGGTACCAAAATTTTTTTCACTTTTCACAAATTTTGTTTCCTTATTGTACTGTACTATTGATATATTATTGATACATTGAACAATAATATTGATGTATTGCACATATACACAGCCTAACATGATGTAAATGGCACTTTTTTCATGCCACATTTAAAGAAAAACTTAAAGTAGATTTAGAAAATTAGAGATTTTTTAGAAATTAACTTATACCCTCTCAAATATTCTTTAATTTTCGAACTGCAATATTGATACTTTGAAATTTATATATTGAATTTTAATATTGATACATTGCTCATGCATTGAACCCTAACATCGTGTAAGTTGGCTGCAACATTTAGAGGTTGTCAATTTAAAGCATGTTCCAGTTAAAATTTTCCTATCATGATATTTTAAAAGGAAATACCGTTACCGAAGTTTTAAGAGAGTTAGAAGTATCTGCTACCAAGCTCAAAATATCTGAAATCAGTGAACTGTAATATTGATGTATTGTTGATCCATTGAACAGTATTGATATATCGTTTATACAATAACTGTATTGATATATTTCTGATGCATAGAACTGTATTGATATATTGCTGATGTAATGAATCCTAACATATTGGAAGCCTGCTGAAACCATGAAGAACTGTTAAATTTCATGGCTATAATATTATTTAATACCACCAATATTATTCGCTAAAAAATTCTCCTAGTTTTTGAAACATTATACATTGTTGATAAATTGAACAATAATATCGATATATCACTGACAGATTGAAATGAAATATTGATATATTACTGATGCAACGAATCCTAACATATATGAAGTGTCCTGTAACTTTAAGAAACTGCTAAATTAAATCTAAGTTATAATATTATTTAATATCATTGATATTATTTAATATCATTGATATTATTTACAAAAGAAATTCTCTAATCTGTTGATACATTAAACCGTAATATTGGTATATTGTTAATGCATTGAATACTATTACATTGGAAGTTTTCCGCAACTTTAAACAACGCTAATTCAAGCCATAGTTATTATATTATTTAATACCATCAATATTATTTACCAAATAAATCCTCAGATTTAGTTATGCATTATGTTTACGCTCAAAAATTAGGTTCAAGGATAAATAATAAATTGCTACATTAAACCACTATGCAGGGTTATTCATAATTCCCTCCACCTGTAAACGCTATTTTTCTTTACTACAACTGGCTTTAGTGGTACATGTTACTGCCATCTATCGGCAACTGCCTAAATTAGAACTTGAATACTTTCGGAATAATTTCATATGTTCTTTTTTGTCACATTCGTTTTTTTACTATAACGCTTTGAAACCCCGGAGGGAATTATGAATAACCCTGTATAATGTAAAATTGCTGCAACCTATATAATGATTGAATTAAAGCATTTTATTGTTGTGCAGTTGAGTTTATGGTTGAATTTGAACGCTGCTATTTTTCACTTTGCAATGTATAAAGATAACAGCAAGCTTTCGTGATATTATGATTTATCACTTACAAAACTGTACTGGCATATTATGTAACTATTCATAGTTCAGTAAATTTCATGCAAACTAGTTTTGTTTTTTAATAAGAAGTGAGGTTGATAGGATAAAATGCTAATTACAGAAACATTTTGGAGTCATACTGATCTTGATACTTATTTTATGATCTTCATTCAATTTTTAATCTAATGAGCTCCTTAAAACTAATGCATTTTCCCCATTACTGAAAAATCTTATCTTTAAAAAGTTGTAAAACATAAAAATTTCTTGTAAGATAAAAGACTTTTACTGTTTGCACATTTTTATCGCTGAGAAAAAGGGGAAGTATTAAGATATCTGAACATAAATGGACAAATACACACTGGATACGCTTTTTTAGCTTCAAAAAAAAAGGTCGCGTAAAAGCATGCTTTTACTGATGAGCTTCCTCTATTTAATGGTTGTCAAAAAATTGTTTTAGTTTTTATTCCATAGATAATACTAAAATCGGAAGAGTGAGATGTTTGAAAAAATATCTCTATGTAATGTTCTGTTTAACGAGTCAAGTGTCTACTCGTTTTTCTATTTTTTTCGTCTTTTTTTTTTAAATTTAAATGCCTAAAAAGCTTTTTTCTTTCTTTTGTTTTGATCATTTTAAAATCATTTAAAAATCTTCCATTATTTGTATTACTTAAATAAATACATTTTTAACCATGTTCTATGTAAGATAATTATGTTTTCTTGCGTAATTGCTTTCTCCGTGTACCGACTAAATAGTTGTGCAAGCAATCTGAAGAAAGGTTTTCGTAGAAATCGCGTTTAATTTGTGTATAAATTTATTAATCTTAATAATGTGCTAGGCAAGACAAAAATTTCTCTTTGAACTCTTTTTTGTAAGCAAAATTACTGGTATTCAAGCGCAATTAAAAACTCAGCTTTTTTTGTGATAATTAAGAACTCAACCCTTGACTATTATGTTTCGTATGCAAACTTTTAATGTTTAAAACTGTTGCTCAGAACCTTAAAACCAGGCTATTAAGACAAAAGTTTTTCAAGGCAAAAGTTTTTTCGGTCCTTATAAGCACTTAATTACCCATTTTGAAAGAAGCAAGGTTAGGGCGTAGAGTCAGGGCCTCTTTGATTTGGTGATAACTACCATTCGGTTTCACTGAAACCCTGTTTCTGGTTACCATAATAATCTTTTCTGTTTTTTGCTTTTAATGACGTCACCTTCGGGTTACCGAAACTTTTTCATGTGATTGGTTCATGATTAATTTCCATACACATTAGCTTATTTCCAAATCTCCAAACATAAGAAGGATTCCTGATTGTAAGCTATTGATACAAATAAAAGCATAATACACTGCAATTTTTTATTTATTATACAACAACTAAAGAGCATACTGGCCTCTCTGAAAACACCAAAGATCATTTTACTTTAAATACAAAATACTTTTTGGTGCCAAAATATAAGTATATATAAACTTTCGCCAATGTTTTTACAAAATATACACAATGCAATATTTCAAAAACCACCTCAATTTATCATCAGATATTGTAAGTGAACGGAGAAGTGCTTGCCACGCCATGTTTTTTTTTTCCAGTATTTGCTTTCCTTTTCGAGGATCAAAAGCATGGAACAGTAGTTGTCAAACGTGATGACAAGTTAATCCTTTGGCGTTTTTCCAGCCGTGGCATTTGGATGAGTTTTCTAACGTTATTGTTTTGACAGAGCGAAAAAAACAATATTTTGTTTCTCTCGAAACTATAAAATTTCAAGATGGATTGTGGAATATATAATTAATCAACTGCTTTCTTTTTCTGGAGACAAAAGTGCCAGACATGGATATTTTTTTTAAAAACTGTTTTGATCTATTTCAGATTTTTAGAAACTGTTGCATAATAGTCGTATACTGTTATATAAAATGTTTTGCTCAAGGAATAGGGTGAAAATTTTCTTTTGAAAAGATACCTACAAAACTTTTTTATAGATAATTTTTTTTTCAAAATTATTAAAACAATGACGTATTCACCCCTTCACATCTTTTAAAAATTAAAAATCTTAAAAAATCTTCAAATATATTGAAATTTCTAGGTTTGTTTAGCAACATCTAGTTTTATGTGAGAAAATCTAGATGCAGATTATAACTTCATAATAATAAAAGGTAAGTGACGCCTACTACTATTTATTGATCTCGTTTTTATGATAATGCTTCCATTTATCCTTATTATGGAATCTGGACAACGAATACTACGCTAAAATGAACGTTGAAGTTTATCAAATTTGTCCTTAGTTATTCAAGATATAAATAAGCATTTCTAGTCAAGAGAAAAAAAAATAGTCAAATTACAGACAATATGAATCAAGCTGATGCTGATAAACGTGAAAAAAATAGTAATTCCCCTCAAACAATAATGCTAGAGTTAAGATGCTACGATCATGTAATGAAGAAATATTTGTATATATATATATAGATATTATTTACAAAAGANATAAATAAATAAATACAAGAAAACACTAAGAAAGTTAAGAAAAACAATAAGTAACATTTATTGCGCTTAAGCTGCAAGTAAACAGCACTCATTAGATAAGTTCAAAATGAAGAATAAAACAAAGAAAA